TTCTCCAATTCTTTTATTCTTTGTTATTCTTTTTGCTGCTGCCATCCTTATTCCAATTTTCTACCTCAAGATGCTGAAAAACGTGGTCTATTTTTGCTGTTACAATGTTTTTTTTTTGTTAACTTGTGCTTATGAGCGAATGAGTTTTACTTATCGTAGTCAGCTATTCGCACCAGCACCCACACGTACGCAATGACACACACTGTAGAGCGCGTCCGAACGCCCATTCTTCCTCATTTTTCTGGTCTCATCTCGTCCAGCCCCCTTTTCATGATTTTTTCGAAGCTATTTCTCACTTTGGAAACACCATTCACGCAGTTTCTTCGCCTTCATTGTACTATTTTACATCTTATGTTTCATTTTTCGTCATAATCTATATTTCCCAAAATAATCGTGAACTGTGCCTTAAATCGATTTTGTAGCCATTCTTTCGTGGGCGATTGTTACATACACTCATTTGTTTTGCAATTTTATTCAGAACGCCCTGCTCACTTGACATTCTAATCAAGAAAAACTGCATAATGAAAAACTGCAGGATGAGAAGTTGGAGAGGTTATACCTTGAGATTTATAACAAAGTCCTACTTTTTGAAATTGCTGCTACTTTCTATCGGTCGAAAAATAATTTCTCCCTCGATTACCATAACCATTACGAATCCTATTAATATCCATAATCCTCCACAGTCTTCTTTTTCTTACATGATCCACGAATATAGAATTCTCTCTATAGTATATGTCGATAAAGAAAAGTCCATAACAACATGAACATAAACTGACAAAACCATTGAAATCAACAACATTAGATATACAGAAACAGAAACAAAGAGTGCAAAACAGTAAAAACTATTTACAGAAACTTTTTGCTGAACGAGGACCAATATGAGGAGAACAACTTGCTTTTGAAAGCAAACAATTGCTGGGAATGTCCAACCACAAATTTGCTCATACACTCCATTGAGAAAAAAAGATTGTCCACAACAATGAATGCAGTGATTTATGACCAGCAGTTTTACCCGCATGCAGGAGAGATATTCATGAAAGGTGACCGATTTCAACTGTAGTTTCCGCTGTTGGTGCATGACATCAATATGATTTTATCCAGGAGAAGCAGATAAGATACTTACCAAAGCCGTTCCACTCATTGTTTCACCTTGAGATAGCACAAAGAAGATTCCTTACTGGCCATCACAACAATTATGAGGCTGAAGCGAGCAGCCGCACGAATAACCTAAATTACGGAATTTGAGCCAAGCATCCGCAAAAAAACTTGTTTAAATGGAATGTAATTAAATGGAAAACTAGCTGTAAGGGGCAACAAAATGCACGGCTATTCCCTCACGAAAAAAATGTTGTAAGGTTAGTTAAGAGGAGATTTACGCAGCCTATCAGATAAGGAATTGGAAAAATATAGATAGAAATAAAACCAACCTTCTCTATATAACCATCCAGCTCGTGAACAGCTCGCTGCATTCGCCAACGACCATCGCAAACTTCGCCATCTTCATCTTCCTCAGAGGAGTACTGGAAGTGAAAAATGTAGTACTTCGTTATACGTGAAAGTTTCAAAAACGAATTCTTACCTCATTCTGCCTCGTCAAATAGTTGATTTCTACGAGCGCCAGTCCGTATTCAAGCAAATCACAGCTTACTTCATCAATATAGTCCGAAATTGAGGGGAATGACGATGGACGCCGAAGTGTAAAGCTATAATAACTAGAATGATTTCAAGGACAAAGTGACAGGGCGAATAATACAACTACGCACATCTTATTTCGCTGAACATTCAACTCATCCACGTCTGAGAATCCACACATTACAGTCTTTTTCGAGTCCACAAGGTAATAAGATAGTGGGCGAACTGTGGTACACGGCTCTCCACGAACCGCTTTGCTATAAAAAATATCGAAAGTCAACGCTTTAGACTGTATTGCTCACCAGCCATTCAGAATCACTTGGGGATGCATAATGGTCGGTTCCTATAACAAAAACCGATTGACTAACTACAGGTCTAAAGCTGTCTCGAAACTGCTTTCTGCTGGTTGTTCATAGAATTTATTTCCTCAGAAAGAGCTTCACTATGAATACCAAGAGCTCAAACCGAAGACGTGCGAAATCTACCATCATTATCCCAGCACAATCAGAACACTCAAAATGCTAAGTCTTCCTGTATCTTAACTTTCCCTTCAGTGGCATCCCTCCGGTCCCCATTAGGTACAAGAATCGGAAACACTAGGCTTAAGCACACAAAATCAAAAGAGAAATGACAATAATTAAGCAGCATGAGAAAAATATACTGAAAAATGCTCACTTTCAGAGCCTGTCATCTATATAAACACTTCAACTAAACTGAAGTTCCTAAAAATTCCCAAATCATACCTCCAATCAAATTCGCCTTCAGGATGTACCGGTGTGTTTTTGACTAGACATTTCAAACACTGCGACGGTGGACATGTTTGACACTGACAATTTTCCAATATGCAGTCGACACCTATCAGCTCTCCACATTCACACTTGGAGCGCTGGCTGAAAATATTAGACATATTAACATAATATTGGTTAAAAAAGAATTCGCTCGCGTTACAAAGTCATATTATTGCAAAGGATTCCAAAAAAAAGTGCCCCAAATAGCATGTCATCGTAGCTTACTGTAATACACTAGAAATTTCCATACTTTGATAGAAAAAAAACTCACCATTGGGACAATCTTGCTCTTTTCTCTGGAGTGTCATGACCACCTTCTTGATCTTTTTTAACGTTGCTAGAATTCAGCCACTCATTGTATTGCCATCCATAGCGGCAATTACCAAAAACAAGCCTAGAATAGGAGCAGTTGAACCTACGAAAATGTGTCTTTTGATATAATCAACACTAATAACCAAACGCCTCCCTAGGCAATAACATCTTATTGTATGAAATGGCTGGGACCAGCCTCCAGTTATAAATAACAAAACCGGAAACATCGACTCATAAGACATTTGTATCAACAAGAACATGTGGCTCAGTAGCGACCCCTATAATAACTTCTGACCCTCTAGCAGAAGAAGCGCAGCTGTTCGAAGCCTCCCATCTTGCAAACCGCTAATTCGCTCAACGTACTAAAATTTCATTTTTGCCCAATAACGAATCAAGTGGACAGGACGAATTATTAAACGTCCTTCTTACTGCGCCTTCGTACTTTACTAAAACGAACACGACGGGACCTCACCCATTTTCCAGTTTCATTTTGAGAAGACGCATAGCACACCACGCATCTTCTACCGAGCAATGTCCGTGGGAGTTCTATAAAGTGAAATTGTCACGAAATAACCTCTGTATAAAACTCATCAAAACGTACCTGAATGTCTTCGTCGAAAAACACCGACATCAGGTTTTTCAGACTTGTTTTCATTCTTTCAGAGCCGNCCCATTTTCCAGTTTCATTTTGAGAAGACGCATAGCACACCACGCATCTTCTACCGAACAATGTCCGTGTGAGTTCTATAAAGTGAAATTGTCACGAAATAACCCCTGTATAAAACTCATAAAAACGTACCTGAATGTCTTCGTCGAAAAACACCGACATCAGGTTTTTCAGACTTGTTTTCATTCTTTCAGAGCCGGAAAGGTTGTATATAAGGCCAATATCGATACAGTACCTGAAACGATACAAATAACTACTACAAATGACAAATATCGAGAAAAAGCACTAACTGAAGAAAAACAAGGAAAATCCAAAAAAAATTTGAGCACAAATCTTTAGAGAAAATCTTTAGAAAAATCATGTAAACAAAGGGGAGTAATTCAATATGAACTCCTACTACAGATTTCAGTTTACACAATAAATAAAAGAAAAAAAGAAACTAAACTTACGGATGAGCTATATGTATCGCACGTAGGTCGAATTCCAAGGAATGACCGCAAAGAATGGCATCAGGCGGAAGAACAGCGCGCAGAGCCGCTTGCACATCTTCAACCGACGTCGTTACTGATTCCAGAAGCTCAGGGGTAATACCAGAAAACTTTGTAAGGTAATCCTGAACGTCTGCTCAATAAAAAATTGAGGTAGACGAGAATACAATGATAGTTGCGTTCAAAATTATTGCGCAATGTGAAAATTGCCATGCGAACATGTGAATACTTAATTACTCTGCAGAAACTTTTTGGGTACAAAATATGTAAAACCTAGTTCAGAAAATAGTGATATAATCTCAAAATGGATGCCCAGCACTTAAACCTCCCAGATCTCGCTCACACTGCTTGATTTTTAATGGTTGGTCAATCAGTGAGATGCATAATTCACAGTCAAAATCCGTTCGATATAATCGTATTAGTTGCACTTTTGTGCCAACAATGAATGGAAAACGATGCTCGTGCTCGTTCGAATATGCGCGAGGTTTATAATCAACCAATTATTTCAACACGGGAGGAGGAGAGAAGGAATGCCCCTTGTCTCATGGAAAGAGATGATAATTCCCGAAATATGGGACTCTCAATATGACGAGAAGGAATTAAGCAAAAGTTTCGAGATCGTGAAATAGGCTTACTGTAATCTCATTCTTGGGCTTCACAAGAGTGTCGAACACAACGTTACCATCTTCACGTATCTGAGTAGGATTTCAGTAAGTAAATAAGTATTTAATGACATCTCATGTACTGTAAAAAGAAAAAACAGAGTGTTCAAACGGTAAACCATAGCGAAACGAATTGGAAAACATACAAGCGATATACGAGTCAGTTCGTGAACACCAGCTGAGGTTACACACATCTCGCAATCCAGGGCAAAAATAGGAGAGTCCTTCGTCACCGGTGCATATCTGAATAGTCAATATAACGTACAAAAGAATGGGCTACCCTTTTAGATGAAAAAGCTAATGTCCCTGAAAGAACTACACTCTGACTGAAGTAAACTAACCTTTCTTTGGTTGCTACAATGTTGATCCCGTCTGGAAGAGGATAGGTATTATCCACCATTTCTGGTGTTGTAATCAACAGCTCTGTTCTCAAATCGTCATTCTTTCCTAGCCCTTCCAGTGGGTCTATTTTCTGAAATCTAAGACTAACTTCCATTTCTCAAATGAAAATTACCTACAACAGCTAGTAAGACAGCCAAACATACCAGCACACGCTCTCGAATTTGCTCCTGAATGCTTACAGGTACATGCATTATATGATTCCAAAAACTTTTACGATCCCCTACAGAAGAATCCATCCGAATCCAACTCTTTTCAAAAAACTTATCAAGGAAGGAGAACGAGAATTCGTTATCATTCTGAAAGCATTCAAATTTAATGTACATGTTGTCGGGAAGAGCCATCAATGAGATGAAGTAAATACTTGCTATATAGTCATTTGGGCAGTTGATTCGAATGAGTATCGTCTGCGAAGTGCTTTTCCACGGTCGAAAATGAGCCCACTTCGGTTTATTCACGATAGGCCCAATGACGGAATATTGGACCAATTCTCGAATCTCTGAAGGTTTTTCCCATCACACAAAGACAGTTTTCGTCATATCAGGGTAATCATCGTCAAAAAACTAAAAAATATCAAGCTAGTGTAACTAGCATCTATTATTCGAGGGGAAGGAGCACTGACTCAGCGGCGCATTTAGAGTTCGCGGCTGCTGTGGCCAACGAGACTTTGCTTTGGCCACGCTCCGCCTGCGAATGATCGATATCTATAACTCACTTTGGTAGCGGTAGGGATCCTAATTCACTCAGATAGCCCTCTATATATTTCCGACTGAGGCCATTTTCGAGGTGGTATCAGAAGTATTGTTACTGACTAGCACTAATATAGTGGATTACTGATCAGTACTTCAGTTTACTGAAGCTAGTTTTTACAAAATCCATCAAAAACTACTCATCGTCTCTCTCACTCAACCTGCATATTATATATTCGATTTGGGTGGAGGTAGTGTAGCGGCAAGTGGCGCGCTATCACGCTGTTGCGAGGATCGAATCCCGGGCTGGCATCGCTCAGGCCAACCTAGCATTATATCCCAGCGTCTTGGCATGGAATCGGTCCCACATTCGACTCGTATCATAAAAGCACTGACTTGTACATCAGCTGACAACCATAGGCCGTTTGTAAACACATAGTAGGAACTCGAAAGCCAGGCGCATCCCCAAAATGGTATTTATCAAGGCCAAAGACTTCACCACATCACTGCGACAAAAATGCTCACTCCCCTTTTGCTCTAAAACAAGCTGTAATGAAGAATCACCTGGACTTGACATATATACTCCACCTAGACGTTCTAATGTTAACGTTAACTGCGGACCAGGCTGGCGTTGATAACGTGCAGCTGCCAGCTTTCGTGAAATCTTCATTGAAGAATCATTGACTGAAAAAAAATAGGAATCGTTCTCATTAACAAGTCCACATAAGCTACAGTGAGCTCACCGGTATCCATGTTGTGTGAAGAATTTGAATCTGAGCAAGAAGCTGAATTCCGAGCTATAGAAGCGGCTTCGGCTTCTTCAATAGCTCGAGCCTCCTCTTCGGAAAGTTCACCCATGAGAAAAAGCTCATTAATTTTCTTCTTCAGCTTACGAACATGCCGATTTTTATGCTGGCTCATACCGAGTTATTCCTGGACGATCATAAATAAACATTAAAAAGGATATCTTCGCTCAAAAAAAAAGGTTGTAATTGAACCAGTAATATAATTACAAAACAATCTTAAGAAGTGGCATCGAGTGCATCTAAGGCCTGAGAATTGCATTGGATTTAAAGCAAAGCTTTATTCCCACTTAGACGGAGAGTTTCAATGATTTCCCAAAAAAGGAAGAACATTTATCACGCCGGGCTTCACAGCTCTGCAGAACGAACAGCATAACCGACGACAAATTTCACACGAGACACTTCAATTTTCCCTTTCTTCGTCTTTGTGGTCGCCTGGGAATTTGGTCTTCAGTATTGGGTCTTTCCTCAACCATCTGAAATCTTCCTTTCCCTCAGATAATGGCCGAAACTGATGATTCGTCTGATGAGAGGTCCATGATGGCTAGATATCGAAATTATGAGCATGCCTATAGCATTGAGCCGAACATAAAAGCTATTGAAAGTGCTCAGAAACGCTTCTCGCAGTAAGTTTATGAGTTTGTCTCGATATTGATTTGTTCTTAATTGTGAATAATGGGTAGAGATTGTGATGAGGAGGTTTGGGCAGTGGACGGTATTCATAGAGGAAGCCTTGTTCCACTTGATCGTGAACCGAATAGGCGCTTTTACGAATGGGCGTAGAGAAGGAGGGGTGGCGAAATTCCTTTATGCTCATAGACGGTTCTTTGCCAAAGGAATATAGTTTTACCTAAGCCTTAGAGAGAGGGGAGCATCGGGGTCTGTGGAGATGATGGGGTGGATGGGCTCCTACAAATTGCTAGGTTGGGGGTCACATTTGTACATTCAATTGAATGATTCACTCTGGTGCGCCTCTCCTAGGCTTGGATATTTAGAAAAAAAAAACTAAACTCCTCGGCTACGAAACTTTCTTAAGCACCAATTGTGGGCTAGTGGAATCGGTTATGCCCGCTTTTCTGCGTTCTGGCTGTCAGAAAAGGCATTTGGAAAAGTGCAGTGCCCCACTATAATTTATATGAATAAGTTATCTTGCATTCTTGCTCCTCAATCCTTTCCTTACAGACTTCTTTCTGGTCACTTCGCTTATGGTGAGGATTTACGAAACCTCTCGCAAGAAATACAGGAGCATTACCTTGCAAACCGCCAGGTGTTGTGGGTTTCCAAACTTTTTGAGGAAAATTTTGAGTTGAGGAAAAAAGTTTTCTTCATTAGACAGCGGGTGACTACGAGAACAAAATGTCAGCAATGTACGAACTTGGTCACATTATCAGAAAACACAGGGTGGGTATTATTTTTCATTCATGTTTTGTTTTAGCTCTTTGTACAAGTTATCTAGGGTAACTCAGCATCCCTGATTCTTCTCTCTTTCCATTCGTCTACATATTATTGCAGAGGTGGAAATTCAAACTATTTCCTTCCGGTTCGACCATGACTGGTTTGGCTTCAAAAGGAAGCGATCTTGACCTTACAGTATGGATTCCCCATGCACGGAAATACTATGCAAATGAGTCTGAGTGAGTTTGTTTTTATTAGTAAGCATGTAAACGGGGGCATAACCTAATGTTTGGTATCTAGTAGCTGTCAAACTGAAAAAGGGCTAAGTGGAGTACCTGGGACGTAGCCTCAGTAGTGAACGGATGGGGTCGAGGATCAGCTCAAATTAGAAGTGAGACCTCTGCTGTTCAACGATTTGTCCGTTAAACGAAATTTCTAATCTATTAGTGCTCGTCTAATAATTTAGTAGGCGCTACATTTTCTCTACACCTAAAATTGCTCGACGAATCGATTTCGATAATAAACAAGGTTTGCAGGGCCGCTTTCGATATCCTCAGAAATATTCGACATTTCCTGTTCACTGATAATGAGATCAATTATAAGTTGGAATCTGTTCTGTATGTCGAGGCAAAGGTTAGGTATTGACATTTGACGGCCGTTCTGTGTCATTGACGGTTATTCTTTCCTATGATTTTGCATCACCATCTGTCCTGGTTTAGGTACCCGTACTGAAAATTAAGTGGAAGAAAGGACTAGAAACTGATCTCAGTTGTTCAACAGAAATGTTCGTCTCAGGAATTCAAAATAGCTACCTCATACGTGGATTCGCGCTGTAGGTTGTTCAGAGTAAATGTAGAACACGTTCTAAGTCTCGCTGCGTTTGCAAATGATCAAAGATTTTTGTACAAATAAAAATAAATTGAACTGGTGTCATTATCATTGATTTGCAAGCGCAGTCAGATTGTGATGATATCCTACATAAATACTGTAAAACAATAGCTTTTTAGATGGGACAAAAGATTTGCCCCACTATGCATGTTGGTGAAGGACTGGGCTAGTCGCTGTGATGTAAAGAATCCAAAGCACGGCGGATTCAACAGGTTTTGATTCATGATTCAAACTTTTCCATTTGATTGTTCTAGCCCCTTAATCATATAATAGTATCTCTCATGGGTGGAAAAGGGAAACCTTGTCCTATAGTGGTGTTTGAAGAGGCTCTTCTTTAGGGTTGGTGATAAACTGCTGCTTATTTTCTTTTTCGAAGAGATCTTTTAGCCTCATCCATGGCTACTCTTCATTTGGGATCCTTACATCTGTTACTTCAGTTATGCGATGGTCCTGCTCGTCGTCCATTTTCTTCAATGTGCCGTCTTTCCACCTGTTTTGCCCAATTTGCAGGAACTCTTTCCACGTAGGAAGATTATTAAGCTGTTTTTAGTACATCTCGCTACTCTTTTGTAACTAGCCTCTTTAATTGAAGGTAAACACCTATTTCTTGAAATAACCATGTTTAGGAAAGTACGCGCGCAATTGTGATGGTGAGATTAGATTCCCTCGCGAGATAGATTTTGGCGACAGAAGTTTTCCCGATGACTGCCCCGGTAGAACTTCAATTTTCTCATTTCATTCGCAACTTGAAGATTTTGTTTTTGATTTTTTGGTAAATATGCGCGTTAAATTTTTATGCAGCTTTTTAAGAAATGGAGAAATGTGGGATGTCACTGGCCGAGCTCTTCATACGATTTCTTGACTACTATAGTAGATTTGATTTCGGACATCACTACATCTGCATGCGTGATGCGGCCGTGAGGTGGAGGTTAGCGCTCCATCGAATGTTTCTGTGAGCTCCTTCATTGAGAATTCATCTTAACGTCATCCTCTTGCAGTTTTTACATATTTTCCTTTTTCCATTTGAATCTTGAGTTCTTTTTTCTTCCAAATGCAAAAAAAACTGAAATGAGGTTGATCAAAGAGCGGATGTTGTCTTCTGACCAGTCATTCTGATTATCTCTCCACCGCTTTGCACCATCCACTGGATTATTGAATGTTACAGGGACGGCCGTGATGGATCGCAAAAAGTGAGTGATGCTATAGCTGTCTTTATTCGGGATCCCATTGATGATCACAACCCAGGCAGAACTGTTCGAGATGTAGAGTATCTGCAGCATATAATGAGGTTCATTCCAATTACTTCACCAAAGAATGAATGTGATAACTGTATTTTTAGAAAAACTCTTCGGCTGTTCCAGACTTCGAAACATTTTCCTACGCTTTCAGAGATTCTTGAAAACCATTGAAGAATTTGTTGTTTAGGGACTGTGCCTGTACTTATTTCTTTGATGTACATACATTAAGAAAACGGACTTTTTGCTACATGCATCAGTTGATCTCGTCAACGAAGTACTCTATCAATAGGATTGTTTTTTCACAGAGAGTCAAAAGTTTTTGTTGAAGTTTTAGATATGATTTTTATTCTTATCATTTCTGTTTGATTTCCTTTCCATGAGTATATCTGAATTTAATCCCTTTTTTCTTTCCTCTTTTCCTCTTTCCTCTTTCTTTTCTTCTCTTTTTTCTGTTTTGTTACTCCCTTCGTTTTCGCCTTGCTTTGATGCCTTAATTATGCCATTCTAGTGGTGTTACGAGTATTTCATAGCAACTACATTCTTTTTTGAAGAATTTTTTTGTTCCCTTTTTAGAATAAACTATGGGTTTTATAATATTGTTACATAATATTAAAATGGACTATTTTTGCAGTAGGTTCTGGGCTACCAATATGCTCCTTTATCCTATAAACCGATCAAGTGACACTTTCCCAGTGAGTATGTAATTTTTGGATTGAAATCTTGGGTGGTTCCCTTTTCATCTCCATTTTCTAACATGGCTCACAGCTTATTTCGGAAAAACACTTTCTTTTAAAAGAGAAGTATTGGATTAATAACTTTTTCTTAGGCCATCTGAAATAACTCGGAGAAGTGATTTTTCTCTACGACGATTGCAGCTTTTTATGATTGTGTTGTCAAATGAAAGTGGGAGAAGGTACAGGGGTAGGGAACCGATCATATTTCATCGGTAGGACGAATGATTTGTTGCATACCAGTAACGTTTGGTACCGTCAGTCCAGTTGTTTCAGGTTAGTCTCCTTAATGTATTGGATAGCAGTTTTTGATGCCATTTATCATTACCTTATGATCGAGGCCAAATGTGATTAAATATCATTGAAGGGTTGTGAAAATTACCAGATTCGAAAAAAGATGTACGTTCACACATCCTTTTCTCTTCTGAGAGAAAAAGTAGATAGGACGTTAGACCGGACTGCTATATAGCAATACCGTCTATGTAGAAGTCGAGACCAAGAGCTCATGCTCTGCACGGCCCTGGTTTGTGGTATCCCTGAGTGGCGGTACTTCTTACGGAATTCCCACGGGAAGCGCAGTAGTTTTGCTGCCCCCTCCGTACCATTCCACTGAAAAATCGAACCTTTTCCTTCATAGGGCGCAGCAAGCGCAGTGCGATTTTCGGGGAGATGTACCCACACCAGGAATCTCTTCATATTGTTCCTTTTTTCACAGAATAAGCTCAGATGAAGGCGAACTTTAGCGTTCCACATTTTGCTCGCATGCAAAGTGACAATAATTTTGCCATTTTGCACGCGAGCGAGATGTGAAAGGTTAGATTAGATTATTACCCGATTAGAAATCGTCCTGACAGAATTGGTGGTGCATTTGAATGAGTTAAGGAGAAGCAAATTCTAACGCTCGGTCGGTTAGATCGCCATTTCATAGAAGAAGATGGCCCTGGTTTATGCAAGATGGCGTCGGTGCTACTCGGACTACAAATGAGTCGTCGAATCACAACTACATAAACAGATTAATTAAAGCGACAATCCTCTGGGAGGTTAACAGCACTGATTGGGTACATCATCTGACTTCGACTCAGTGCACAGAAAAATGCGCATTCAAACGTCGCTACCACTCTGAATGGGAAAACAATGTGTGAGCGTATCCTAAAACGGGTTTGATCGGAGCGAAAAATTTTATTTGTCACTCTTTTTTCTCTCATTCTGCAGTCTCAAGGACGTCTTTTCTCTAATTTAATGCTATGCGAACTATTAAGAGGTACGGTAGTTTATGAGTTTCTTCAGTTGAATGGATTTTGGGACCATACCATATAGGTGAACGTTGGGAACATCCTACACTGCACTCAAGATTACTGCCTTGATATCAGATTTTTCAAAGGCACGGTTCACGACAAAAATGGTTACAGAGTTCTTCCCTAGGAATCCCCCAAGGGTAATAGAAAGGACCTTCTCATGTTCAAAAAGTCGACGGTTGCGGCACCGTGGAAGCCCTGTTCCCTGCTCGCGCGGCCTTCCCGCCCCTCGATTGATGTCACGTCAGACGAGCGTCGAGGCGACACAGACTGTAATTTTTTGTTTACTTATGCTTATGAGTAAATGAATTTTTGCTCACCGTAGTCAGTTATTTGCACCAGGACCACACGTACGCAATGACCCACATTGTGGAAGCCCTGTTTTATAGCTCGTCCAAACGCCCCACTTCTCTTCATTGTACTGGTCTCATTCTCGTTCAGTCCCCTTTCTAGCGATTTTTCGATTTGCATTTTTTTAGGCCTTTTTTCACTTTGGAAACACCGATGCACGCAGTTTCTTCACCTCAGTCGCACTAGTTTCAATCTTATCTTCCATTTTTCGTAATAATCCGAATGACCCAAAATTATCGTGAACTGTGCCTTTAGATACTTTTACATGAAATGTATTACAGTATAAATCTTTGTGATTACGGTATAAGCATTTCCTGTATTAACCACCCAGTTTTGAGCCACGCCTACTAATGAGGTCCTTGTTCCTTCGGTCGGTAGCCCAGCGTGGGCTCCGATCTAGCACCTTTGAACATATGCGGTGGCAGTGCCGTTTGGCTCTACTCCACTTCCGTTGTCATTACTCAAAGTTTCGCAAATCACTTTCAGAAATACCAGTTTCTGTATAGAAATACTGTGACGTAGTAAAATGGCCAAGGTCGAGATGTCGAGACACCCACAGCGGGGGTCACTAGCCTATTACTGAAACCAGTAAGCGATTACTGCGACTATACGGGGCGTTCAAGTTTTTGTAGCATCCCATCACTAAAAGTTGTT